GCTCCATGGCCTGGCCCAGCCTGTGGGAAGAGCCCTGTGGCCAACCTGGGGCTCTCTCCTGCACCAGAGGCTTGGCAGGGGGTGTTCCTACTGAACGCTGTCCAGGCTGGGAGTGGAGAGTGTCCAGCACAAAGAGGAAGAAAATGAAGCACAGACAAAAAGAGAAAGTATCTGTAGGGTTGGCCAGAATCACAACCTGACAGGTRATCCTGAGAGAAACTTGGTTCTTCTGGGTGGCTGGGGAAGCCTCCACCATGCAGTTGATTGTTCTCACTGCTGCTGAGACCAGTCTCTGGGAAGTGAGGTTTTTAATCTTCTGCCTSGGAGAAGGGCAGAAGGAAAATCTGATCACTTCTGCCTTTTGGTCCTCGGATGGTCCTGAAAGGGAACTGGTGGATAGTCACTGTTTGCTTTGTAAATTGAAGTGATTGAAGTTAGCTGGCTTAACGTTTAAAATATAAAAAATAGACAACCAGCTTCTCAAAAAGGAGGGCAAAAACTGGAGGGAACAGTATCACTGAGAAGAATCCCATAGCAGTGTGGCAAGGCTGCATTGAGCTGAATGCTGGGGAAACAGCTGGACCCTGCTATGTCCAGCCTTCCTGGGGGCCAGGAGAGCCACAGGCCTGGGGCTACATGTGGGACCTTGTTTGCAAGGCCTGCAACATTGCCATTAAAGATGGAAACATTTCTGCCATGTCCTGTCCCTGTGCCAGCGAGGTGCAGAGCAAAATGGTGTTGGGGCAAAGTTTGGCTATTGAGCGTTTCTGTCAGATCACACCAGAAAAAAACCCCAGGARGAAAGGTGTGGTTGTTCTAGATCCTGTCCCTTCCCCCCCTTGCTGTGTCCCACAGATTCCCCAGTGACCTAACCGAGGACAGCGAGTGGCTGGAGGATCTGGTGAGCCTCGGGGGATGAGCCAAGGTTACCTTTCTCTTGAATCAAACTGCACACTGCCGGCTGGCTGCCAGGCTCCTGCCGCCCTGCCCGATCTCTCCCTTTGACCAGACCACACTGGACTGAACCCRAGGAGATCATCTCGCTTTCTTACTAACCACCGACGGTTTACGCTTCCCCCCTCCCTGCCCCCAGCCCACTGATTCTTCTTTTATTTATTTTATTAGCTGTTAGTTTTATTTTTTTATTTTATTTTTTTATCTTTTTTTTGGGGGCTGCCCCTTCTTTTTGTTGTTTGCTCTTTCCCGAGCTAGTAGACATATTTTATGAATTGGCTTTGTGATTGTGTTAGGTAGTTTTCATTGAGGAGTATTTTTATTTGGCTTTGAAACTGTTTTGAATATTTTCAACTCTGTTGTTGTTGTTGTCAGTGTTTTTAAAGCACGGTATGTAACAAGAATGCAGTTCTGAAGGGAAGAAAGAGACAGAGAGAGCAAAGGCTGAGAGGAACTGCTGTATTTCTATTTTTTTTAAAGAAACTGTTTTTAATTGTTTCTTGTTTTGTAAATGTGAGGCTTTGAAAAGTGTGAAACTCCAAGGATCCGAAAACGTTGGACATCGCTATGGAACAAAACAAATGTATATTTTGCTAAGTGAAAAACACTATCCTTACAGCTGAAAGATTTTTTTTCCTAGGTTTAGTTTTACGTGGGTTTTTCTTTTTCCTCCTGTATAATATGTAAATATCGTGAGCTGAACCTGGCTGCTGCCTGCAGCCTGGCTCCAAGGAGCAGCTCCAGGTCCTGGACTTGGTGCCGCAGCGTGAGCAATACTCTCCAGCAGAATCCTGACAGGACTTTGTTCTTTTTTTGTACACCTTTTACTGTAAGATTTTAAGACCTCTGATGAGACGAAAGGGGGGCGGGGGGGGTGGGCGGGGCTGAAATGTACCGGCCATCGGCTGTTTTGCTGAGCGGGTTAAAGCTGCTTCCTATTGCTCGATGTACAGACTCCATCCCTGGGCTCCGTAGTGCCGGCTCTGGGCTGGCTTAGGGAAAGGGCTTTGCCGCCGTTGCTTGTCTTGGTTACTCTGAAAGGAATTCACTCTCCAAACATTATCGCTTGCGTCAAGATTTCCTGGGAAAGGGGATCCTCCTCTGGAGGTGAGGGTATGAGAAGGGGTGTCAGCCAGGGGGAGATTTGGGTAGTCGTTCTCTGAAGGGCAGGGCTCTGGGATGGGGATTTGTTAACAGGGGAGAAAAGCATTAGGGTGGTGATTTGGGGGCGGGTTAAGGGCTTCTCAGGGATTATATGAATTATAGAATTGCAGCTTCCCGTTTGCTTTACTCTGTGTTCTGAAGACTGTGGGAATTTGTCCGCTGTCCTGTGCTGGGTGATCTGGTCCCTTCTCCACAACCTGCTGGGGTTTCTCCTGGTATGGTCCAGGCCCCTGCTAACCAGCACTCTGCCAGGGGAGACCTCCAGCAGGAATACACGGGGCAGGTTTGGGTCTGGATTTCAGTGAACCAAAGACCTTGTTAAGGGGGGTGATTAAGCCTTTTATTAAGATGCAGCCAAACTCTTTTCCCAGGGAAATAACAGCTTCATCTTAAGTTTTAAAAATCATTCCCTCTCTTCCCCCAAACTGAGCCACTGTAAAGGAGAGGGGCATTTAGAAAAGGASTGGGAGGGCCATGGTGCCCACAGGGCCCTTTTTCTCTTCCATCTCTCCCCCATCTGCTGGAACTTGTCCTGACCTGGGCGATGCGTTTGGAGAGTTCTGTTTAGGTAAGAAGGTACTTAACAGATCAGTACTGAAAACACAAAGCAATAATTTTTGTTACTGAGACAAGAGTCTGTATGTCTGTTTTTTTAAATATTTCCTAATTAAAGAAGAGCTGCATTTTATTGGGTTTATTTTTATTCTATATACTTCAAATTTGGGTCTGCGGACAGCGCTTTCCTCCCTCTTGGTATAYGCGCTGAGCTGCTTCCGTGCCCCCTCCAGACATCCTGGGCCAGCTGTGCTGCTGCTGGGCTGTGAGTCACTCTCTGGCCACTGCCTGGAGGCTGGGGCTCCGGTTTCAGGGTGGGCATTTTTTTTAAAAGAAATAAAGCTGTGTTTTTAAGCCAGTAAGTTATTACACTCCAATGTTTGTTCTCTCCACACCTGTAACCCTTTTTCCAGATTTCAGTTTTAAATTCCTAATAAATTATTTGAAAACTGTCCTTTGCTGTTATTTTTTTGGGGGTGTGCAGTTTTCCAGTGGGGGGGATTTCAGGTGAACTTAGACCTGGCAGGAGTTGCATCCTGCCTTTAGGATAAAAGCCCCAGGCAGGGTTCTGACTTACTGCTCTGCTCCCACACTTTGGCAGTGGCCCAGTTTATAATGTGAGGCAGATCTGGTTTTGGTAGATATAGTGTCTCTTCTCTACATTACAGAGGTTTTGTGCAAGTATTTGTAGTTTCAGAAAAAGGGATAATGTGGTGCTTACAAATTTGGCTCATACCCTAGATTCAGTTGACTGTGGTGGACCAAGGAAGCTAGATATAAAAAAGTAAAATGTGGAGATGGGAAGTCAAGTCTTWAAAAGACAAAGGAGAGAAAGGAGAATTTTAAAATCTAACAGAATTTTAACAGGMATAGTAGGGAACTCTACAATGGGGCTTATAAAGAAGTCTTAAAAATAATTTAAGGCTTAAGCCTTTAAGTTGGAACCGGTTGTAGATTGAAGTGTTCTGAGGACCAGTGGCTTTGTATACAGCTGAGGTTGGGGGATACCAAAAATAGCATTGGTGGAAAAATCTTTACCCTGCTGCGATTTTTCTCATGAGGTGCTCTTGTAATGCTCACGTGCTTGGTTTCCCATACTTGGTGATCCTTTTGTTGAACTAAAAATGTAGGGTATTGTTGATTTATGATTTTAAAAGGCCAGTTGACTGGAAATTTTCTAGGAAACATCAATAATACATCAGATACTGAGAACAGAGGAAAAAGGAGCCACAGAGTTTCATAGGTAAGAAAACAAATATTTTTTTTTAGATGGCAAAAGTAGCAGAGAAGATAGAGAACACCTAAGTGGATGTTGAAGGGAAAGTCTGCAGATTGATCTGTGGGCAAAAGATTATTTTTTCTGAACTAACTGGTACAGAATGTCCTTTACATCAGCCTTTAATGTTTGTTTAATATTCAACTTGTTGTTAGAACACTTCGAATTTTAAATCTTCAGCTCAGCATCCATTTGGCTGTAGGTAACTGAGGAGAGGGGAGCCCCAGAAAATGGGAATGCTTGAAGAGATAAAAAATGTCAGAGTGGGTCTGGYYGTTCAGCACCATGTCTAGCTTTACSTAGATGTCCTATGGATCTGTCAACATCCAGTGGGTACTGTGGGCACCCTGGTGTAGTTTCAGACCCTATGAGGAGGAAGGTGTCCTCATCCCCTCTTTGGAAACTRCTGATGGTGGTGAGCCCAAAGTTCCCTGCATGAGCACTTTGGTATATCGGGCTGTTGCAAAAGGGTGGCCTTTGCCTCTTCCTCTGCTCTTAAAAGCTGAGGAGTTGTTTGGTGCTTTGGAAATCAATGCAGACTCGATAACCACATCTAGGAACTGTATCTTGAGCATGTAAAAATGCCAAACCTATAGCCCTGAAAATGCCACAGCCTCTGGGATCTAAGTGCAGTGTTTTTACTTACCCCTGGGTGATTCCAGGAAGCCTTTTTTTACTCATTTTTTGAACTTCTTTCAAGGTTCCCATCTCACCTCATCCCTTGGCRTAAAGAACCAAAAGTTCTTAACTGGGTTCTGCATGGGTGTTGGAAAAAGAGAAACTTGTCCAAGTTACTGAAGGTTGCTGTGTACATTGAAACTTCTAAGCCCGGTTCATTTCCAGTGTAAATTGCTTAAGGCCACATAAAACCAGACACTACTCGTTTAAGCCAAGTACAGAGGTTTTCCAGGTCACTTGGCTCCTGTTTCTTGCCTAGTAATCTCTCCTTCTCCTCTATGGTTTTAAAGTAAAGAACACCTTGAATTTTTTTTCAGTTCAGCTCATGCCAAATGGTCATTTGATGTGAGTGGACAACCTGTACCTTATTCTCGGAATTACACCAGGAGAACTCATGGAGAGATACAGAATTAATAAGTGGGATACCATAAAAAGAGGATGCAAGTATTAGYGGCAGGTGGTTATTAGTGTGCCAGAAATTTCTAATTCAACTACCACACTGCTATTATTTTTTAGTTAAGACCCCTTACAAATATCTAGATCTTTCAGGCTGACTTCTAATAGTAGCACTACAAGAATTTAATAGCAAAAACCTAGAGAGCAAATATTTGCCTTTCCGGCTTTCATGGATTTAACTCAATTGGCCTTCAACTGGTCACGCCACAACCTGCYGCCCACAGCCTCTGATGGAAGGAGTCTGCATTTAGTAACATAAATACTGGCTGCTTTATCTCATACCCATGTCAAGGTGAGCCTGTCATATAAAGAGACCCATTTCCCTTAGCACCAGTCTCTGTATCAAGTCCTGCGAGAATGAAGTTCCTGGCCCTGCTTTTCCTGCTGTCAGGTGTGTAGATGCCCTCGCCTTTGCAGGGGTACCCCCGGGCCTGACTCTAACCACCCTGTGTGTCTCTCTCTCTGCAGTGGGTGCAGCCAGCACCGAGGTCTCGCCCCGGGCCGTGTGGCTGTTCCGCAGCATGATCAAGTGCACCCTGCCGAGCAGCCACCCGCTGCTGGACTTTGCTGACTACGGCTGCTACTGCGGCTTGGGGGGCAGCGGCACTCCGGTGGACGAGCTTGACAGGTTCATAAGACTTTGCTTTTACAAACTTCTTTCCTTGCTTGTACTTCCCTGGTTCAGCTTCATCTTAGCTGGCCCTGCCTATGAACATTTRCAAAACTCTCTGTCTGTTGTGAACATTTCTCTCACAGATGGATTCAAGGGRAAAAGGATGTGCACTATCACACCTTGATGCCTTATTACTAAGAAAAGATATAACTAGTGCAACTCTGCTTTCTCTTCTCTGGCATCACAGCACAGTGTGCTCATTCCAGCATTTTTTTTTTTTTGCAGCAGCAGTGTTATGCCAGTAGCGCAGATGAAGCTCTGCACAGTCTCCCCGTGCTTGACCATCAACACGTGCAGGGCTAGGCTGCAAAATGCTAGGAAATGGCACAGGCAATTTAGGGATCACACAAGTCTGGCAGCCAAGACTTGGATTATGTTGGCTGAGAGCTCATAAACTACCACACACTGAGGGATGTGTAGGGTAAACACTGGCTCTTGCTTTCCCTATGCCAAATAGACAACTGTGAAGGTGCTCCAGTTGCACACATGTACCACACACCTCTTGGACCATGAGCCGGCTGTATCCCTCTGAGGTCCTTGGCGTCTGCCCTCTTATCACTGGGTATCTTTTTATTGTTTGTTGAAGCAAATCTAATGTATTTGCATTGTGTCTTGCAGGTCAGTTGAGCTTGCAATTCTGATATTTTCTGAAGTTTTTCTCCTTGTTTCCCAGGTGCTGCCAAATACATGATAACTGCTACACAGAGGCAAAGAAGATMGAATCCTGCCGATTCTTCCTGGACAACCCCTACACTAAACTGTACCGTTACAGCTGCTCTGATGGGCAGATCACATGTAGCAGTACGTCTAATTCCACATCACTCCACTCCTGATGCTCTGCAGTCTCTCTTAGGAAGGAGCAGGGCTGTGTGACACTCCCCCCTCTGTGGCAGAAAGGCACAGTGCAAGTTCTTGCCAGGRGAACTAGTTGCTAGAAAGAGGGCACCTCACACAGGCACTGGAATGAGTATTTTCTATTTAACCCACAATTTAAGGTTTATGAAGATGTGTGGTATCACAGGATATGGGGAAGCCTATCTACTCTCCAGGGGATTGAGTACCTTTCTGGGGGCCATTGAATGGCCGGGAACTGTTACATGGCTTCTGCCAGACACCACTGATGAATAGTGGAGCCTTTACAGGGCTCTGGAATGGAGGTAAAAGCAGAGAGGCTGCAGGGAAGGAACGGGCAAGGAGATGGCTGGGCTTAAGTATACAGCTTTGGGTGCAGTGGGTTAGCAGGGAGAAGCCCAGGCAAAACAATAGCAGGAGTGAAAGGGGTACACCATGACACCAGAAATGCAATCCCCAGCCACTGCAGCGCCTGGCGAAGGAGCTGCGGGCTCTGATCGCTCCTCTCGTTCTCCTCCAGGCAAGAACAAGGAGTGCGCCATGTTCATCTGCAACTGCGACCGCGCCGCTGCCATGTGCTTCGCCAAGGCGCCCTACAACCCCAAGCACAAGGAGCTGGACACAGATAAATACTGCAAATAATCGCACTCGTGCCTCAAGGCGGCCGCAGGACCAAATAAATAATTAAACTAAACCGGCACTCCCTGCCGCCTTCCACCGCCGCGCGAAAGGGGGGGGGGGGGGCTGGTTGTGAGGGAAGGTGCGGCGCGTGCGGCGCCCCCCGTTCGCTGATTGGCCCTTGGAGGCGGCGGGGGCGGGGCGCAGCTGCTCGCGGCCTCGCGTGCCCGGCCCCGCCCCTCCCCTCAGGTACCTCGCGGGTACGGGCTGAGGAKGGGCTTGCGGCTTCCCGCCCTCACTCTTCCGAGACTCCTCAGGGCGATCGTCCCTGCTCGCCATCATCCTCTCGATGTTACTCAGAGCGACCCTCTCTTCCTTACCTTCCCGAGTTTCCTCAGGGCTCCCCTCCCGCCCGCCCGGAACTCCTCAGGGCGCCCTTCCTGCCCGCCCTCATCCTCCCGAGGCTCCTCAGGACATCCCTCCCGGCCGCCCTCACCCTCCCGGCCGCCCTCACCCTCCCTGGGCTCTTGAGGGCGCCCTTCACGCCCTTGGTCCGCCGCCGTCGCCTCGGGCTGCCCACGTGTTAGCCACAACACAGCTGTCCTTCTTTCCCGGGGCATCGCTGCGTGAGGGTCTTGAGCCATTTGGTGCTCCCTATGCCTGAGGGGCTCCTGTGTGCTCACCCTGGGGAGCCCTATCCCTGCCYGGCGCTGTTCCGCGTCAGGAGCTGCAGAGGAGGCACTGTTCCCAGTCAGGACCTGCACAGAAGGAGGTAATGTTGGCCTGGAAGGCAGGGAACCCCTCTGCCCCACTTTTCCAGTACTTCCAGGGTCCTGTGCCCCCCATCCTTGGAACTGGTTTTGCCGGCAGAGGCTTTTGGAGGTGTGGGTGAGCTCCTGGGGTAGGGTCTGTACATAGCTCTGCTTGCTGGCAGGTCAGGAGGAGGGCCCTGGTTCATCATCAGAATGATCTGTACCCAAACATGGAGCAGAATCCAAGGATCTGAGAGGGCTCTAGGAAATGAGAAACAAAAGGTGAAGGAAGAAGCTGTCTTGATATGTTATTGGAAGCTACTTGCAATCTTTCCTACTGAAGGTATATATCTTTGAGGGTATTAGAATGATAATGAGAAATGATAGTGAATTTTCACTTTGTTCTTTTTTTTTTCCTTAAAAAAGGAGAAAAGACTGACAGCCAGACATTGCATTTTATGGGACTCATTTAGATTGAGTCCTAGTTTTGTACCAGTATTCATTGCTTATTTTTCCTCAGGTGTTTGKGTACATTAATTTTCTGGAAACACTSAGTACTTCAAGTCCTCCACAAAAATCTTGAGGATCCTGGATGCGATCCCATCATATGGCCAAAATGAATCATTTTTAGGGCTGGAAGAGCAAGATGAGGTCTCCTGTACTCGCATACTAACTTAAAATTCTCTGAAATTGTTGTTTCTAGAACAGTAAATCTCCTAAGTAAATGTTACTAAAATCCCCTTGTAGTAATAAGTGATAAACCTCATTGCAGAGAAAAATAGTAAAATATCACTATCATGAAGGAACCCTGCACTTTTGAGCTGTATTGTCACAAGTGGGGAAGATTGCTGGGGTGCATTGGAAGCATTTCAGTCTCTGTTCGTATGAATTTTGCCTGTAGCAGGAAATCTAGATTTGAGGTGAGCAGTATATCTACTGGCATTCAGCATTTGGGGCATGCTAGCATTCCATAGATAAACCCTGTGGATAGATAAAGGCTAACATTCATTCTGTATCAGTCTTACTCCATACAGATTTTATAAGCCTGCACTTATGTTTGKTYCCTTGATCAYGCTCTCATTTCCATGCCACTTTGAWGATGTGAAAGACCTWCYATTAAATCCAAACATCCTCCCCATCCATGGGGAGCCTTCCCACATAATGCAGAGTGTCAGGCCCTAATGAACAGCACAGGTGGGGAGGCTSAAGGGGTTGTGCAAAGCTGCTCATTAGGGCTTTGAGGAACGTTGTGGGAAGAGCCCAAGAGCAGGGMTAGTAAGTGCCTGAACTGGTTCACTGCCAGTGTATGGTAGTACAAGGAGTGTGTGAAGATCTTCTGCCATGCTGGCCTGTACTTCTGTTCCAAACCAGAAAGGGAGCACCTGGAACACAAGGTATCTATCCCTGTACTGAGGCCSTACACAGCACCACAGCTGGTGCGTGATATGCTAGAGTGACAGCAGCCCTGTGGACTCATACWGCAGAACTGAAGTCTCAGTCTCTTATCTTCCTTTTCTCTATTGTTGTTTCCTATGCCAAGATTTTTCACTCTCTGCAGGGAGAGCTGAACTACTCTTTACTAYATGGGCATTGCACAGATGAAAAAGAGTGCTCCAGCTGAGGGGAGACATGCAGAGAGCAAACAACTCTGCTCCTGGTAATAATCCTGTGTCRGTTTCTGTTTGGGCCTGGAGACCAATTCCAGACACTCGCACTGKTGCTCATCCTCTTCAGGCTCAGCTTCTCTTTTACTCTGCCATTGTCTAATTAGTAGTGCAGAAGGGAAGAAGTGCAGAAAGTGGWACTGGGGTATCTTTCCTTAGTGGGGAGGGAGATGACAGGGAGCTGTTCACAGAATTGCAGGAAGAGTCTGGAACAGTGGTTTTAAAGCCCATCTGGCTTGACTGTGCTGTTTACCTGCCTGCTGCAAAGGCTGGGAATGGGTGACAGCCAAGGCAGTCACAGGGGAAGAAGCACACTCTAGAAGGTGGATTTAGTCACCTTCACTCCACTGAACCTCTCATGTTCTTCATGGCCAGGGTTTGGGGTCATTTTTCAGAAGTACTGAACGAGCAGGTGTGTCTATAGGAGCAATCTGACTGTAAGATGTAGAAGGCTGCACTTAATACCACAGGCACCAAACTCCCTGGGCCATCTGCGTTTTGTGCTGCCCTCACTGGAGCTCAGTATGTGAAATACCTTCATCAGGCTGCTGGACTCAATTACAGTGTGCTCTGAGAATTTGCCCAGAAACAAAGACAAGATTTGCCAAATAGGAAATAGCTTTTATTTGCTCTGGGTAAATCCAACCCCACTTTCAGAGGAGCAGAAGAAAAATCCATTATAAGGTACTCTCAGCTCCTCTATCCAAACTTTAGGAGAAACATATGTAAGAAAAAGGGAAGAGCAAAAGCTGTTGATTCRGCTCATTTCATGTCATGGTTTTTGATGTAGGAATTTTAGGCTCTCTCAGGCATTTCTCACTTGAGCAAATTTCTTAATGGTATCTTGGGGAGCATGTTAAGGAGTGAGGTGCTCTGATCCTGCTCTAAAAGAAGTAAATTTTAGTACTACTGGATCAATTTTGCAGAAAAAAAGGAAACTTCTTCATCTCAGCCTCATATAGTTCTAGATGTTGTTGTATACTCATTTACACATAGTAATAAACCATGCACAGGAAATTTACTGTAATGTTCATTTTTTTGTAAGTCACTGTCCTGGTGGCTTAAAAGTATAATCAGTGGAGAGCTGGGGTAATGACTCATCTGATAGTGATGCTGAAGAGATATCCTGTCTCCTTTCCCACAGGCTCAGCTGCAGAACCAGAGAAGAGRCAGGGGTGGGTGTGGAAGATTTAGTTACCTGTCACAGAGCTAATTCCAMGACTTGCTTTAGACTGCTTGGCAATGCTCCCACACCTTTTCAAAATGCTGGCTCTACTGGCACTAAACCTGCAGCCTCTGGTTTTGACACACCAATGTCATGCAAGTTTCAAGGAGGGGGAGAAGAYGATGTGGATAGTGAGAAACTCAGCCCCAGTTCCTCTGCTAAGGAGGCATCAGTGTCTCTTCTTACAGGGAAGAAAACATGAGTATGTGGAGACTCTGCTGTGCTTTAGGCATGATTTCTGCAATAGCTTTGGTTAGTGGGACAGCTGTACTATGGACAGGAAAGCTAAAGATGGAGTGACATCGGTGAGCTTTGTTTACTGCCAAACAACAGACACTGAGTCACTGGAAAGTGGCATCACCATTCAATGAGAGCAGAATGCAGGTGGGAGTCCTGAACTGTTCTTGCTTGGCTTCTAAGTGAAACTGTCTCTCCTCTGACCCAATACAGCCAATCTTGAACTATGTTAAACATCTTAATGCCCTCTACCTTCTGCAGAAATTGGGTGCCTTATGTATCCCTTAGATTCTCTGCCTGATTTGCTCCTTCCGGGCATGGATTTGAATAGACAACAAAGCAAAAATGAACTTTGCATCATGTGGTTGGTTGTCCTTGCTTTGCTACTTGACCTTGTAGCAGATGACTCTGGCATCCTTGTTYCCAACTGCTTGTTACAGTTCTTGTCAAAATATTAGTACAAGGTATGTTTCTTGTAGAGTAGGAGGGGCACTTGGAAAACTCCAACAATTAAGTCCCTCAGAGCCAGAAGGGGAATGGTAGACTCATGCAGATGGTCAGATCAAAAATTTAGTGTCCTAGTTTGTGCCAGGTTTTGTATTTTACTTGGTAAATGGTTTGATATGGCTTACAATATCACCCTAAAGATCAACAAAAAATGGCTATCCACTAGTGATRGATCTCCTGTTATGAGTGTGGAAATAGCACCTATTAATAGAGATTGCCTCCTGAGGGAGACCTACTGCACAGATTTAATTCTATTTCTCTCTTAATTCATTGGTTGCTAGTAATGACATCCTGCATTTTTGCAATGGAAAAAAATGAATCTAAACTGGCTACTGAGAATGTACTTAAATAAATCACAGGAGGGAGAGAAAATTACAATGCAGATAGTCTCAATCTTGTAAACAATTTTAATTGATTTCTTAGCTATTCATTAATTAAATAACATCTTCCAAATATGCATCCTGGAAAATGTAGCCGCCTTGYTGAAAGTGCTGGTCAGATTAGCTTAAAGTAACTCCTCTGCCATCTCAACAATATTTAACTTTTAAAGGTGTCAGATAGGAAGCAGTTTAGCTTGTCAACTGACAGTTGAGAGAAATACTGACTTCCCCTCCTTGCTGGAAGACATCAGCCTGATGGCCTGTGCTTCCAAATAGTCTCTTAGAAGAACAGTGTTGTTGTTCAGCTTTTATTTTCAACCTTTTTTCTTTTAAATGACAACTGCAGTACCTCTTGCCTCCTTTCCTCTTTGCACACTACAGTTTCCCACCAGTGTCATTGGATCCCCCCAGCAGTGTCCTGCTTTCCCACATCGCCCTCCTGTGCTATAGCCTCAAATTACCTGGTCAAAATCCCTGTCCCCCTTCTCCTCTGGGGCCATTTACAAGAAAGGTACTTTGTCCTCAGATACGGCAGAACAATTATCCCGTCCCAGTGAATGAAAAGGCACTGTTTACAACGGCAAGGTAAGGCAGAAAAGTACTTTTTTTCCATCATCGTTCTATTTCCTGGTAAGTGGAGATAGTTTCAAGGGGGAGAACTGGAGAGGCTGATATGTGCGACACTTGCTGCCCTCTCCTGGTGCCCTCAGCGGTCGTGCACTGATCTCACTACTGCCTCTTGGAGTTTTTCCCTTTCTGAAGATGAGTCCTGTAGGAGAGGAAGGAAGAAGCTGCTTTATCAATTGAATTGATTATTTTACACAGCAGTGTTTGATTAGGATTAGCGGGACCAATTAAATAAGGAACAGCTTTTGAATTGTCAGTTGCAAAGACAATAGTTGTGATCAGGTTCTCTGGAACTAGAGGTGATCCCCTGTAGTTTCCCAATAGAAACAAATGGACTGGCATCCTACACTGCTGACTCTTCTGCATATTCTTGCCCAATTCTCTGGGAGTGCAAGCACTTAGTTTTTTGTTTGTGATTGTGGGAAACAATATTAGGGCCCATTAAAGCAGACTAGTTACAGATTAAAATTTGCAGCCACCTTTTGGTACACAGTGTGGGAACATSCTGTCACTCAGTACATCTCAGTCTCAGCATTTGCCAGGAGCCCATATTCTTAACCTGTAAGGTGACTGACCAGGGAAGGTACTCACCTTGTAAAAATAACCTTAATCCTGATAGCTACTGAAGCTCAGCCGGTTGGGTCATGTGCAAACTATCAAAGGCAGCAGCTCTCCACAGCGGGAATTCAGCTTTAAGGATGCAAAGTGATCTAACCTGGTGGGCCCAATGTTAAGGACTGCAATTGGCAGCTTCTTCTCCCGGGCAGCAAGAGCAAACCTGTAACCAGAGTATACCTGCAGGAGTACCAGAACACAAAATTACTGGCAGCTTAGGCAAAAGAAGAGTTACAGAAAGGAATAAAATATTTGCTGTTGGCAGTGGGAAAMGGGGCTGTACAGACATGCTGTGTTAGGCAGCTGCACTCAGCTCAGGTAGGAAATATCTTTGTTTAGAGTGCACTGAAAAGAACAGCTTTTAACCTCTGTCAGTGAAGGATTTGCAGTTTCTTAGAAACTGAAACTTCGGAACACATTGAAGGGAAATGTCCTTGTCTTTTAGTAAATCTCTGCAGCAGTTTTTGTTAGTTATCATAGGTACTTAAATGCTGCACTTTGATGGTTCTCACCATGGCMCAGCTTAGGTAGTACAAGAACGAACCTAAGGCATTTCAATCATTTCTGTACAAAGGATTATAAGCTTAAGAAGTGCAAGCTCAAGGAATTTGTATCCAGTATYCTGAAGCCAAGAGAATCACAATCAGACAGCCTTGGTTTTATCTCCTTCTGAGAGGCATTAAGAGTAAGGTTTTTTTTTTAATGTAATAGAACTTGTTTCTGAAAAAAATTATCTTATACAAACACTATTACAAAAGCTTCTATGAGTTTAGAAACCCCTGTTGTTTAGCTACCTTACCTTATAGATAAGASRCTAATGGAGAAAACACATTGTGATRCAAAGCACAATCCTAAGCAGGAGAGATATTTCTCTTATTGAGAATTTAATAAGGAATCCTAAAATCTGGTATTTTCCACAGTGTGCCATGAGGCCTAAAAAGCTGCCAAAGGCTAAAAATTTCATATTAAAAAAATGTGAGGAATGAATTGTATCAGGTATCTTGCCTTTATGGACAGTTGTGACCTGACGGAGGAGGCAGCAGAGGTCTGAAAGGAATTATTTAAAGCAGCATGAGGTAGGCTGGCAAAGAGTGACAGGGAAGCCCAAACAGGTCACCCATAAAGCCAGATTCCAACCATAGTAAAAATAAAATAAAAYGAAGCTCTGCAAAGGCTGATCAGATCCACAAGCCATCTGTAGTCCTAAATTGTGGGACCAGGGATCATTGCAGAAGAATAGCAGAGAAATAGGAATGCAGTGTGGGAGGCAGACCTAMTTACCTGCATAGAGGATCCTGCCACCAGCATGGAGTCTGATTCTGCCAGGCGCTGGTGTACAAAACTGACTTTTTCCTTGCTCACTGTGTCTCCAAAGAATGTCACATCAGGCTTCAGGATTCCACCACATTTATAGCAGGCTGGGACTTGGAAATTGCGCACCTGCTCATCCGTCAGGAACACATCCCCATCTGGAGCCACACCGAACGCTTCAGCTTTCCAAGTAGGATTCAGAGCTTCAAAGTGCTCCTGCAGCTCAGAACGCAAGATTTGGTCTCCACAGGCCAAGCACAAAACCCTGAAATTCAGAGCAAAGTCTTAATGGAGAGTTTCATGTCAGCTGAAGATCTGACGATTCTGACTCGTTCCTTAGGAAAAGGGAAATTAATGCAGGCTTCAAAAGATGTGATCCAAACAATGCGCTAAAAAATGGAGCAGTGGTCATGTTTCTTAAATACCATACTGTGACCCGCACTAGGTCGTGATCTTTTTCTCCACCCCAGCCCAACACCACCTTCGTGCACATCATCTCCAGGAACACAGCATGGACATTTTGCCTCCTTTCTCAGCAGCTGACACTGCAAGCCTGTCAGTCACCCTGAGCAAGAGCCCACTGACCAACCCCCTGTGCCAGCAGCTGTACCTGTGTGTGCAGCCGTGCAGCTCCGTCATGCGCTGGCTCCCRGCCTTGGTGTGAAGGGCATCCACATTCTGGGTCACCAGCCAGTGCAGCTTGCCCAGCTTCTCCCACTCTCTTAGWACCAGGTGTGCCTTGTTTGGCTGGTGAGAGGAGAACTGGGGCCAGCCCACAAAGTTCCTTGCCCAGTAGCGCTGTCGGGCACTAGCGCTGCGCACAAACTCAGCATGCTGGACGGGCCGTCTGTCTGTCCTGGCATAGAGCCCAACRCCCTCAGAGCGGTAATCTGGGATCCCTGACTCTGTCGAGATTCCAGCTCCAGTCATTACAAACAGCCTCTTGGAGTTAGAAACAAAGCGCTGCAGCTCCTCCACTTCCATTGGATCTGGGGGAAGACAGGCTGGCACGAAATTCAAGTTTGGAGAGGCTCTGGAGACAGAATGGGATCTGAAATGATGGAATCTGAAGACTCTGAAAACTCCAGACCACTTCCTGGCAGGGAACATGTTCAGCTAAAAGGCAAAACCAGAACACATGGCAGGTAAAAGAAAGCAAAAAGCATGTCCTTAATGCTATTTTCTTGGGATTCTCTGGGAAATGATGCTGATAGTATTCTTTGCTCTCTTTTTAGTAAAGAAACAAATTATTTTGGAAACATTAATTAAASCCCACCATCCAAGGACAGCTTGTTCCTTCGGCAGTGTGGAACACTGAGCATTGAGGACAGASAGTTCATAGCCCTGACTTGCAGGGTTCCTCCTGTTCTGTTCTGGTGTGAAGAATGGCTGCCTAATTGGACTTGTAAAGAACCCAGAAAGACCTGAGCATGCAAAGTCTTTCCCAGATATGTGCAACAGGCCACAGAGGAAATGGGAGGAAGGCCAAGCACCTCACCCCAGAGGCACTGGCTGGTTCCTCCCCAGAAGACACCCTTTCTCTGCTTTTTAACATTCTGCCTGCTCCAAATCAGTCCTTTCTACTTACCGCATCCTTTGCACAGGATGTAGGAAGAGAAAGAAAAACAAYATTGAAATGTTGTTTCTCCTGGACAAAGGCCTTGACTGGAGTCACTCCTGTGTGGTGTGTTTTGGGTTTTTTTTTCACAAAGGCCTAACCAGAACAGGGCTTGAAATGGGACTGAAGATAATTAGGGCACTGTCTAAATGCCTTTGGTACCTCMTCTTTTGTGGGTGCCACCTCCCCAGACTCAGTGGGAGCTGGAGGGGTACTGCTTTTCTTCTCAAGCAGACACAGGGGCTTTCTGAGAGAGATCATCCAAAGTGTGTGGGGCAGAAGGAATTGCCTGGCAGGTAGGAATGGGGGGGATACCCTGCTTCAAGGGAAGAATGACATATATTGCTGGGGACAAGCAGGATGACTTTGCTAATTGGTAACCTGGAATTGTATGCAGGACCTGTTGAGACATGAGTGGATGGGTTTGGACTTTGATTTTGTTTGGGCTTTCTACGACTCTGCAGTTCTTTCTCCATTTAATAATTCTAAAACTATTTTTTTTTGGGCCTCTCTATGGTTTTGCATACAATGTACAAAAAGGTTTGAAAGCAACAGTCCTGGGAATTGAGTGTCTGGTWTTTCTGCCTCCTGCAATCTCCCTCAGCCGAGGGACTTGTACAAGATGTGGCAGATCAAGGAAGGATTTTATTTACTGATAGAAGAAGACAATATCCTGAACACCTAAACTTCAGATATATTTAAATATTGCTCCATTTACTGTAAGATCTAGTACTTGGGGGCAGCTGGGGACTTAGATATATCTGAATTTTAGGAGTTCAGCTCTAAGTATTGCAATAGTAAATTGATGATAGTGGCAAAGAGTAGATTTGGCTCAGTTACTCTTTAGTTCTCAAGGTTTTTTGTCATCATCAGTTGAAATGCAGGGAAGATTGGGCAGACTCCATTGTCTGAATTACTTTTTGTATGTAAGCAGTGATTCTATTTGCAATGATTTTTGATTTGTTTTGCTGTTTAGCAGGAGCTGTGTTGGGCATTCCCTCTAAGAGGTTTAATTTCCCATATGAATTAATTAGAAGGGACAAAGTCTCCCAATAAACTAATTTGCTTTGAGAGTAACTTGTGTCATGATGCTCCCCAAAGGCTGTTAAGCCAGTTTGATGGTAATTAAATTGCTTTAGCTGATGAAAACTCTTCATTCCTGCCCCTTATCATCAAAAGATCTCTCAGAAGGAAACGTTCAGAGGGGAAATTAAATAGAAATGTAATAGGGGTTGGCCCACAAGAGAATGAAAGCAAAAATTGCAGATACATTTGAAAGCTGCTGGACTATGGAGAAAGTTAAAGGATAGAATATTTCCAGTGAAATACAATATAGGATAGAATATTTMCAGTCAATACACTCTGCTTTTAGAATGGAAGTGCTCAGTTTTAAAAATATAACTTCTGTATATAATAAGTGAAACTGTTTAAACGTACCTAGGGAGAGCTGAGGCTAGAGTCTGTTTTTAGCACACATCCAAGATCCTCCCCAGAAAAARATCGGGCAAGGTTAAGGCAGAAGAKAAACAGGATTCTGCAAACGGCTACAGGCCCGAAATCCAGAGGGATTCCCACGTCATCCCGGTCTCTTGTGCTGTGATAATGGCGGGGGCGGGGTAACAGCCGAACCGAACCCGTCTAATGAAATGAGAAGGATACGGTGAAAAACGCTGAAAACTCACCTTTCATGKTGCTGCCATTCCCGGCCGCGGAAGGACAGGGCTGGCCTGCCGGAAGGGGAGCCCTCTGGGAAATGTAGTTCACGGAGAAAAAGAAAGCCCTAAGCACAAAGACTACAACTCCCATGTGTCGAAGGGCGGGGGTGGGGAGCGAAAGGTGTTTCTACCATCCTAGCACCTGAGTCAATTAGAAAACGCTCAGAGCTTCWTAGCAGCCTTCGTGGAAATGTGCAAGATTAAAATCCGATTTAATTTGCTACAAATGCATGTGATAGCTTTGATAAAATGTATTGTACATGCCTGTCTTTATAAAAGATGCATTTTCTTTTAGTTCTGATACTAACAAGTTTTAGGCTTGAAATATGACTAAATAAATGGAAGAAGGAAARGTCCATCGAGGACTGATAAAGACATTTCCTCAAGTGCAGGAATTAGGGCCAACCTGTCTGCTGCCGCCTCTGTGCCCCCTGGCTGGAACCCATTGTGCCTCTCTGTCAGTATCGACAATCAYCAGATAATTTGTACAGTTTGCCTGGAAATAAGGAGTTTAATTTTTTGGTTTTTGTTTTTTTTTTTAATTTAAAAAAAAAAAAATCTTCAAATGAGCCTTATTTTTCTGAGGAACAAATAATATGAAGAAGGCCAGACTGCTGCATGGTAGCAGCCTGGTGCAGTGGATGCTCAGCTATCTTAAGAGACAATGGGTTTTTTCTGAAGATTTGGACTGCTTTTCAAATGTATTCACGGAAAAGCTCTCTTTAAGCTGTTCAAAACTGCTTTCAAAGCAGAAAATTTTAATCCACTTCTTGTCTCTTGCAACTATGTCAAAGCTCAGGTGAAGCYGAGCCTGTGTGTAGCAGTGTGTAGTTTTGTGAACACAAGGAAGAATCGCATTCTGCTCGCTCGGTGTGCGGCGCCACCCTGCCTGTCCTTCTGCCATTGGGCAGAGGTGTGGAATGCAACCCTCTTTTTGGCAGCTTTGTGAGTCTAAATTACTTTCAGTGATTTATATTTTAAGAGTTTAAACGTGTTTTTAAACTGTTGGGTGATGACTTTSCTTTGGTGGCACCAGGGTGGCAAGGGCAGGTGGCACCTGGCAAACCCCATTTCCCCGTTGCCCCTAACTCAAGCAGCACCTTCCCAGACGCTCATTACCATAGTGCCCTCCCGGCAACCTCCGCGGGTCCCGGCGGTGCGATACCGGGCCCCCAGTCTACCCCTCTGCCCACCCCCGGTCCATCCGTGGCCATCCCCGCGGGGCGCGGGCTGCGGGCGGGGAGCGCGGGCGGGCGGGGCGCGGGGCCGTTCCGCACGCTCTGACCTCTGCGGCGGGGCGGCGGCCGTGGAGCCGGGAGGGCAGCGGCAGGGGGTAGCTTTGCGCAGTGGCAGTATCGTAGCCAATGAGGTTAATCCGAGGCGCGATTATTGCTAGTTGAAAACTTTTCCCAATACCCCGCCATGACGACTTGAAATATAGTCGGCATTGGCAATTTTTGAGAGCCTCTACGGAGGCCGAWTTTATGTGGTTAAAAGATAGACAATTAAGGATAAAAGTGTCATGTGCTTCTTGGGAGATCTCTCTCACAAGCAACCTTTCACTAGCATCGGGGCGCCTCCGCTTCTAATTTCACGAACCCATTGCTTCTTCAGCACCTTTGAAAGAACAACACTTTAACTTTTTATCTAAAAGAGCCCTCAATTTATTAAACGGTGTGGTTTGCAGAAACAGGTGGTGGAGATGCTCGGGAAGGACTCGGGCCGGGATGGGGCTTCCCGGCGGCTGTGACCATTCGGGACCGGCCGGGGTGCACRGTCCGGGGCTCTCCTGCTGGAGTGGCGGAGGTGGCGCGGACCCCTCRTTCCGCGCGGGGCTGCCCGCGGTGACGTCGCGCTTATTTTGCATATCCCCTCCCAGCAGCCTTCGCGAGTTTAACGGYGGCCCAGAACGGGGGGAGAACGGGGCCTCCCGGTCCCGGCGGGGCGCGGAGCATGYGGGGCTCGCTGCCCGGCGGAACGCGGAGAGGAGCGGCTAAGTGTAAAATCTCGCCCCGACCTAGGTGGCATCCCCGGGGCCAGTGGTGGCGGCGGCGGGAAATTGACGGTAGCTTTGCGCAGTGGCAGTATCGTAGCCAATGAGGTTAATCCGAGGCGCGATTATTGCTAATTGAAAACTTTTCCCAATACCCCGCCATGACGACTTGAAATATAGTCGGCATTGGCAATTTTTGACAGTCTCTACGGAGACTGAATATTGTGGTGAAAAATAGATGAATAACAAAAATTACAGGTTGTGTTGTATTTGGCTGACGGAGCTTTGGTTAAGTCTGTGGAATCTTATTACGTGGGACAGTACGGCYCTTGTTCTGTCGTCCCTGTCATCGTCTGCTCCCGCCAAATCCGCGATTTAATACAGTGAGGGCTCCTTTACATAAAAAGCTCGTTTCGTTTTCTTTCAAAGCTGCTGAAAAAGGAATCGGTCGGTGAAAATAGWAGCAGGGGGGCTGAGGTGCTCAAGGACGATTTCTCGTGTAGCTTGTTGAGTGGGATCTTTCAAAAAGCTCGGCGTCTCAACAGGTAGCTTAGGCAGTGAGAAACCGGGGGGAGAGTGAAAGTCTGAGTTGTGCATCGCTGGCTACAGAAGTCTTCTAAAACCTATTAAGGAACACCTCTAGTGTRAAGTACTGTAACATCCATTTTGTGTGCATTTCTTTATGTATATCMTTTGGCATCACTTGCTAATAAAAAMCCCCAACCAACAACAGAAAAAGACTCCTTATTGCCGAAGAAATCACCAATCCTTACTCTGGAAAAAGCAGCTGYTGGTGTCAAATCCCATTATATAAGTAAACCCCATCCCTTCCTAATTTGTGGCAGTTGTCTGATTTAATGGCCAAGCAGACCCTGTGGAGGGACACTAATGACCATTGCACACCAGCTCCCTGGGCTGAGGCTCCACTGCAGCTGGAAGCAGCTGCMCTCCATCACTTTGTATGAATTAGATGTACCTTATGCTGCTGACAGGCTTCCTCTGACATTCTCTGTATGGGCACGTGTGCCATCTGGATGCTCCTGCCCTGCTGGTGAGACCCTGAGCTCAGAGCTACTTTAAACTAYAGCTAGGCAGAGTAGAAAACTTAGTAGCACACATTAGTGTTTCCTCTTTAAAATTCTTCTTTTTTTGGTAACATTCAGCCATGCTGGGGTATTATACACAACAGTGACCAAAGATTGACAGTGAAACCTTTGCCCCCCCTGCCCATTTGCTCTCTGTTGTCAGCAATATCAGTTTGAAATCAAAACCTGAACCATAGGGATGCCATCCCCCTTGGGCAGAATCAGACACACTGTTAAATAGCAAAGGCATATGAAATTTGCAGTCAATCATACACTTCATGTAATTTTTTGATTCATATAAACTATGTTGATAAATATTGGGTTTATCACTTCATTGTTTCTCATCTCTGCTGCCAGAATTGTCTGATAATTGTGATAATGCCCTGATTTGGTCCTTTCAATCTGCATTACAAATTCATATCCTATATCTTATGTCAGGAACCAAGTTTGTTCTTTTTGCTGTAATAGATCCTTTCAACAAACATGAAATTGGACCTTCAGTGGGGAGTTACATGTTGTGATTTAGTGACGTTGCCTTAAGTCTAATCTGACTGATTTTTTTCTTTTTTGTATTCACTTGAAGAAAGAGCTAAATCCACTTGAATGATGTTCATGTGGCACAGCACAGAGGACACACACTGCAATGAAGGCATTGTCATTGCTCTGCAGTTTCAGGTCACTCTGGAAAAGGCACAGGTAAGTTCTAAACATTCCTTATAAGTCAGTGTAGCTTTATATCTTTTCTCTTACATAGATTGCAAATAATGGTGCTTTTCATTGGTGGCATTATGGAATGAGCTTGGATCACTTCTCTATTTGGCAGCCACTCTGAAATTATGGGGAACGGATGGATAGTATTAATCCATCTACTCTGAGGGTCTTGTGTGTGCTCAGAGGGTCAAGCTGCCCTTCTGGGGAGCTGATCTGTAACTGGTAAATGATGCTTCAACAAGAGGGAAAGATGCTTTGAACAAGGACTTTGGACACAGGGATCAGGAATACCCTGAACAGGGATTGTGCAGAGACAGGAAGCCCTAAAGTCCAGCATTTCGTTGATGTTGACTCACTGTTTGACTTCATTTCCAGTTCCCAGCCCTGCTTGCCATCTGTAAATGGGGGTGGTGACTTCTTGTTACAACTTMTGTGAAAGGTAAGGGTAAATCATAATGTGTCTCAGCCACAAGGCACAGCATAAGAGGAAGCTCTGTGTATTTCTAGCAGCAAGCAGGTGTTCCTGAGTCAGTGAGAGTTTGAGGCAGAGAGCAGATAGATGATGAGAAAACAGGAGTTCAAGGCATTGGGAAGGACAGGAGAGGGTGAACATTGCTTGGGTGAGTTTAGCTTGAGCCAACACTGAGCAGTTGTCTTGGCAGCTGGGGTTTTAACCTGCCCCTACTTCTTTGCCTCTCATGGGAAGGTTAGGGGCTAGCAATTTTAAGTGAGAAATGTCAGTGTGTGAAGAATTCAGTTATGAGCAGCACCTGACTATGAGCAGTGCAGTGAGAATGAGGTTGGTTTTAAAAGCAGTGTGACTAGAGAATAGTATCACTCATGTGACAGCCCTGCCTTTCCACCTCACCAACCCTTCCAAAGCGGTGCTGAAGCCTCAGGAAAAGCTTTAGAAGTAATGACTTTTAAACTATTTTGTTTTTAACACTGAGCAGCTTGGGGGCTGCTTGGGGCTGCCCCATTTCTTCTGGGTGCAACCCTAGCTGGTACTACAGCTTAATTTCAGTCCTGAAACACAATAGGAACTGCTTTTTTTGATTTGCAATCACTTCCAGACTCCAAAAGGTCACCATAGGAAGCTGGAAATAAAAACTGCGTACCAGGCTACAATATGAACAGAGCACAGTAGGCACTTTATTTTTGCAGAGGTAAAAATACAACCCAAGCCTGTCACATGTTGCTGGAGGAGACAGTCAGACCCCAGGAAAGGACATGTTTCTGATGGCATAAGGTCTGTCTGCTCTGTTACCAGTCAGTGCCACTGGTTTATGTTGCTTCACCTGAGGACACACAACCTGAAGTTGTTATCGTACAGTCAGTGATGGATTTTGAGAAAATTTGACCGTCCCTCCAAATAATGTTTTACATTTTGCTGAGGGAGACCAGCAAGGGGGATGTCAGGTGAGATCTTTGGCATGGATGGTGGAGCATGTAATGAAAGTCTTTGCTTACCTTTGTATTGTATTTAGATCTGGGTAAGGATGTTATTTTCTAACAAGCCCTGGATATGGAGTAAAAGCTGGAAAGAATTTCTTGGAGGATGTTGATTATTTGTAAGCATTGGCTGGGATGAGGGAGGAGCTATTTCCCTGCCCCCTCTGGTGATAGTTCCCATTAAAGCATGACTTAACACAGGAAATAATGATGTCTGACTTGTGCTAGCAGGGGAAACTGGGCATGTTTGTGCCTAGAGTGAAAAATACAGCATTGGAGATTGCTCACAGCTGACCTCATGGTCTCTGTTTTTATGGAAATACAATCCCGTAATCTCAGCTCAACAACAGGACATGCGCTATTCAGCTCTGGGAACATTCTCTGACTGGGTAGTAATTTTGTAAGGAAAGGAGCTACAAGAGTCATGTTTCCTGGATCCTTAGCAGTTCCCACACTGATATTTTTTGGTGTATCTTTCATCAGATTAGGAGGTGAACGTTTGGGCTGAGCAATTGCATTTACCGCCATGTCAACTTGGCTGGAGTGCGATGGGAAACAGGAGCTCTGATGAGGGTGGAGCTGTGCTGTGGCCCGGGCAAGGCGAGGACTTTGCTGCCTTGGAGTGTTGTTTGATAGGGTTTTGAAAGGAAAAGCATGTGGGTAATGATAGTTCAAAATCATCACATGAGAAATCCAGGTGGGCTGTTAGGGTCTTTGAACACAGCAAAGGAGAAGTGGCTGGTGACTTTACTTTATGGCAGCCACAGCTTGCGAAAAGTTGTTCTGGAAAGGTTACCCTGCCCAGCTTCCTTGTGGATGGGGTGCATCAGCTGGGGCTCAACAATGTCGATTTGTGTGAAGGTTTTGGGGCACAGCCGTACCCTGTACCCAGCTCCTCAGGGCCGCAGAATCATGCCGGCCCTGCCCGGGTGCATCMCTGCGCCGGGAGTACGTTCCTCTGGGAAAATGTCCTCCTGCTCCTCCAGTGAAGAGTGCAGGGCTCGTGTCGCGTTCATGCCCATTTTCGGACCGGCGTGGGGCCGGATGCGAGCGGGACGGCTGCTCTGCGGGCGGACAGGCTTCGCCCCAGGGACAGAACCGTGGGGGCGGGCGGCGGTTCTGGGCGCTGCTCTCGCCCRGCATTTCCCAGGGTACTTTCCCATCCCGGGGCAGCGCAGCGGAGCTGGGAACGGGCCCGGGCAGCCGCCCCCCCGCTCCGCTCCCCGCGGCCGGCC